TTTTTAATTACATTTTCAATTTCACTCATTGTAATTGGGGTGTTTAGAATTTCTATATCTTCTTCATTTAAATTTGGCAATTCGTATGAATCTAGGAATCTGTCCATTTCTTCTGTGTTTTCCTTTTTATTAGAGTACAGGTTCTCAATGTAGGAATCGATGATCCTCTGGATTTCTGCTGGATCTGTTGTGACTTCACCTTTTTTGTTCTTAATTGCATGGATTTGAGCCTTTTCTTTCCTTTTTTTGATAAGATTGGCTAAAAGTTTATCAATTTTATTTATTCTTTCAAAGAACCAACTCTGATTAATTGATTTTTGTATCATTCTCTTAATCTCCATTGCATTGATTTCTGCTCTGATCTTTATAATTTCCTCTCTTGTACAAGCTTTGTGTTTGTCATGCTCTTTTTCTAGGAGTTGAGATTCAGCAGTAGGTTGTTTATTTGAGCTCTCTCTGTTTTCCTAATATAGGCATTCATTGCTATGAATTTCCTGCATAGAACTGCTTTCATTGTGTCCCATAGATTCCTGTATGTTGCACTGGCATTATCATTTACTTGTAGAAACTGTATTAAACTGGATATAGAAAATAAGTTAATGCCAGATTAAGACCGCCGAGCAGGGCAACTTGCAATTGCCATAAATGTTACAGCAAGTTTACAGCACTCTAGTCAATTAGTATTTAGCCCAAAACACAGAAGACCAAAGTTAATGGTTGCATTCTGTTTGCAAAGCAAGGTTATATCACTAATAAATAAGCTTTCTTAGAACTCTAGAAGTTGAACAAAGTAGAAAAGAATGTCTTCATAATGTTGAAGTTCATAGACCCAGAAGAACAGAAGATAGGGGACAGGGCAGGAGCAGGAGGCAACCATAGGTGCATTCTGAACAGGACTGCTATGTCTTGAGTGTGTGGCTGGTCTAACTTGTCACAATCTCTTTTCTGTCCTCCACAAAGCAGATGAAGCGGAAATTGGTCCCATTCCCACTGCTTGCCATTTTCTCTAGGCCGGCCAGAGGAGCACTGGGCTCTGAGTTCTGGAGCTTCTCCAGATTTCCAGTCAGCCCACTAATAGATGAGCTGCTCCTGCTGCGTGGGCTTCCAGGAATTGGAGGGATGCTACCATTCTGAATGACAGAGATCTCGTCGGCCTTCATCGCCAGCCCATTGGAGAGCGCTGCTGCATACTGATTCCAGAAACTGGAAGGATTTCCGCTTCCTGACCTCACCGGCAAATCCTTCTGGAACATTTCTAGGAACTTGACAGGATTGCCTCCTAGAAATATCATGGGGCCATCCACGGAGAGCCGGTGGCCCCGGTGTGCAGGGGTGCTATTCCACATGTGCATGCCCATGTGTACCTTAAGATTGCCTTTTGTTGTGAACGCTCTTCCACAAACAGTGCAAGCAAAGGGCTTCTCTCCAGTGTGAGTTCTCTCATGGATCTGAAGGGCACTTGACGAGGAGAAGGTTTTGCGGCACATATTGCAATAGTGCTGTTTGGGAGTTCTGGGCAGAGCTGGGAGCAGAACTGGGGACGTGGCAGAGGATGACAGAGGCCCAGGAGGGATGTGACTGGTGAGGGTGTCCTTACTGTCCTGAGGAGAAACATGCACAAAGCTGTTGACCTCTTTTGATGAGAGATGACAAGTTCTGATTGGGGCCAAGGTTGGAACTGGGCTCAACGAGCTGTGATGGTAGGTCTTGCATCTGATGTGTCAACATGTGCAGATGTTCGTAAAGTACCTTGAGAAGGATTAGAAGATGGCAAGTCTGTGTTCTGAAAAGCCATCAGCAATATTTGGTGTCGAATCTGTATGATCAGTTACAGTTGGTGGATTTGCTGCTGCTGCAGCGCTAAGAGCTGCTCCATGTGGGCTGAAATGGCAGGTTTGCCTCTGGAGGACTTACTGCCCCTCACTTCCTGGGAAAACTGGGCCACCACCACCTTGGTGCTCTGGAGGTTCTTGATGACGACGTTGTTACTGATCACGGAGAAGTTGCCCAGCATCGTCAGGTCCCCGAATTGAGGTAGAGAGGTTGTGATTGCTGAGGTACCTGTGGAGGAGCTGCCCTCGCGGCTTGGGGCGGTGCTACTGGTGCTGCTGCTAGACGTCCTACTGCCACTGTTGGGGGCCACTGAGACCTCCACCTCCATGGAGTCTTCTCTGTCAAGTCCCTTGTGCTCTGAAAGGTCGCTCCAGTTTTCTTGATCTGTTTTGTTCACCGTGTCTTTCATTTGTTCATCAGGATTATTGGGAGGGGGACTGGGTGAGGTCTTGGGTGGGGAGGCTGGATTCTCATTGATGATCAAAACTAATTGGTTTTTAGTGCAGTTCTTCTTGTGGAGCAGAAGATCTGATAACTCAAAGAACTCATCATAGCACCGGTCACAGATGTGGGCATCCTTGCTCTTCGTGGGGCGACGGTTGACCCTTCTCTGTGTCTCCATCTTGCAGGGGGAGCGAGGGCAATTCAGGGTCGGATTGGAAATGTTGAGGCTCCGCTTGCTTCCTCCGCGACATGCTGGCTCAAACATCAGCTGGGGCAGAATAAAAAAGTACTTTAAAAAAAATCTCAAAATTACGGAAATCGAGCGGCAGTGGCTGCGGCTCCCCCTGCCCGCAGCGCGCATGTGTCCTGCTATAATTATGATTATCAATAATGCATTGCTATTAATCATAGAAGGGCTCTTTGAAAAGCTGTAGCATTCTTAATAGTAGGATTTCTGTATTCCCTTCAGAGCAGTGAAATCCACACATTCTCGCTCCCCTTCCCTTTAAAACATCAACTGGGTAATGTGCTGACTTACGTTACAAGGTTTAGAGGGAGGCACATCTCACACAATGGCAGGAACACTCAATCATCATGGTTGATGAAAAGAAAAAAGAATCGAGAAATACATACATTCTTACATACGGATTTGGAATCTTTATTTGAAGGGAAATTCTTTTTTCTCTATTTTGGGAGCTTGGAGGTATAGTCCAATGGTAGAGTGCTTGCCTAGCATGTGTGAGGCCCTGGATTTAATGCCCAGCACTGAAAATAAAATTTAAAAACTACTTTGGTCTCTTTCATCTTTGCCTCTGTTATGTCAGTTGTTTGCTTCAGGTTACAGAGCATTTTTGGATTTGGGATTTTCAGATTGGGGTGGTCAACTGGTATTCTATGCAAACACTAAAAATAAAAAACTGAAATCTGAAATACTTCTGTTCCCAAGCACTTTGGATAATGGATTCTCAATGTGTAGCATATGTGTATATGTGGTTTTATATCAAAGACAATAATTGAAATTCTCTTTCCAGTACATGAATCCCTGTCTCTGAAATCTTGTCCTTGCCATTCAGTTAAAATTCCTCTGTACATTGAGTCTGTCATTCTGTCCTTAGCCCACATATCTGTGTTTCACTCATAAGTAGAATTTCCGAGTACAGGTAGTTCTCTGTGTAACTCCAACAATAATCTTTCCCTCCTTAGCTTCAGATTTGTTGAAGGTCTTAAATGGCTCATTTTGATGTTTTTAGGTTATTACTAAGAAAGGAATAAAAACAATTGGAAGATGATAGCAATTCTGCAACACATAGTGCACTATCTGTGGATTTCTTTTATTTACCAGATCTTTGTGTTCCTGAACTGCTATTAAAGACTCTGGTATAAAATAGATGACTTCAGTGGGTATAAGTCATCCAATAATCTATAAAGCTAGTTTGAGTGCCTATGAGCTAGACTAACATTAATTTTGTTTTATGATAGTCTAGAAACAAATGACGTAAGATATTTGCTGAGGCTTTTCTGTAAAAATTCAGAGTAAAGTGAATGATGTCCCCTTGGCCTCTAATAACAGCTAAATTATATCTCACTTGGGGATTTCTGGGAATATACAAGTTATTTCACTAATTTAAAATTCCACTCTGCAGTAGGGTAAAGATGATATTCTCTCCAGCAAACAGTTGCAGTAAAAAGTGTTCACAGAGTGTAAATTGAGGTATTGAGGGACAGTTTTCATTATTATAAAGAATGAAGTAAAGGTACAAAGACCTTTGGGGCTTAGTTTCAATTTCTTATATAGCATGTTTTCATTTATCTGTTGGACTTGCTCTGCCAGAATATGTGTTAATATAATTCTGAATCTATTTTTTATCTGTGGTTAAGAGACTAAAATGTTATAACAATCAACCACATATTAGTGGCTCTTTCTCATTATGCTTGTATCTCTTGGAATTATGTAGCTATTTTTCTGCAGAATGCATTCTATTTAAGGCATCTGGATTTTTAAAATGTTTTTTAGTAGCTAAATTTAATTAAATCAATAATTAAACTTACATAGAGTACCAATAGGAATAGCAGTGCAAATACAAGGAGATTTGCTTTAAATAAGAGATAACATTTTACTTGCAGGAAAATGAAAGAACTTTTGAGAAGGGTCTTGCAATGAAATTCCCATTTGGAATTGCAAGTTTTTTCCAGAGCATCATTATTTTCTCATTCTATCCTCCTATCAATGATTCTTTGAGAATATTTACTTGTATTCTTTTGGCTAAACTTTATAAAGAATGTAGTCTTTCACATGATGTCATATACTTTTTTCCTTGCCACATATGGAAGTAACCAAGGTCTTATGTTTTGCATCATAATCTATAAAGAAAATTAAGCAGCCTACTAAAATTAATTGATTTTTACATTACAACCAAGGAGTAAATCAACTCTACTTGCAGTGGGTTTTTTTTTCCCTAACATTTTATTACTATGGCAGGAGTATCTTCAAAACTATTAACTCTTTGTCAGTGTCCTATTTCCTCTGAGCTGGGCTCTGTTCAAAGGTTTCTAATATTTCTTTTTGAGGAGTGGGGTTATTTTATTTTATTTTGTAACGTTAGTATGTAGTACAGTGATTTTTTCAAGGCTTGATAAATTTTAATATATTCACAGAGTTGTACAACCATCAACACAATTAATTATAGAACACTTTCATCACCTCATAACCCTGCAGTTGCTCCCCCACCATCACACAAGCCTCCAGCCATTGGTCCACTCTCTCTAGGGTTTTGCCCATTTTGCACATTTTCTATTAATCCTGAAAGCTCAACCCTTTCTATCTAGGGTAAAGATAAGTCCTCCAATAAATTCATTTGACAGTAAAATAATTTTCACATTTAATTTTTATTGAATATTATTAATAGTCTTGAAATTGCTTATTGTGTAAGAGAAGTCTTCCTTTAACTGAAAATTCCTACAGCAATGTAAGACTGTTTAGTTCGCTGAAGAAGTAGAAAATAATAGTAACCTCTGTTAAAGAGACATTATCTTAAGTGAGCAATGCTGTTAAAATTGCAGATATAAGAAGTTCAACATGTACAATTCTTCATAAACTATCTACTAACAAGTGGCTTCAGATGTTTCTCGAATAGTAAAAACAAGTCCTATTTTAACACTGTATATAGGGTGAGCTAGATCTTTTCCATACATGTGAACATAAGAAAAAAAATTAGTGCTGGGTGTGCAGCTTGGTGATAGAGCACTTGCCTAGCATGTGTGAGGCCCTGGGTTTGATTCCAGCAAAGAAAAAAAAGTATAAAATATATTTATAGTATATGCATCAGCAAAGAAGGGTTAGGTTGAAAGTCATAAGTTTCACCATCTAGTCTGCTCATTGATGATGCCAAGATCAAGTCTCAGGATTCCCTTTAAATTATCCATACAATTCTATGAATGATTCCTAAACATCTAGCAATGAGTATGAAGCATATATAATAAATGTGTGTTTAAAACTACATCTAAAACATTCATGGATTCTATTTAAAATTAATTAGTAGCCATCATTGAAATGACATAGTTGAATAACTGAATTTCTAAATTCATCACCCAATAATAATGAATACGATTTTAAAGCTTCTTTTTGACAAAATGCAATTTATAGTTGTCTAAATTATATATCCAAAGAACTTGAGGATTATTTAAATTCTAAAAATAATTTAAAGATAGATTTTAACAACTGAACAATCTCTTTATGTTGCCTATGCTCAATATGGGCAGTAATTCTGTAAATTGATTTGAGGGCATTCTAAAGGTCTGTTACTATGGGAACCAAATTCAGAAAACTAACCTTTTAAACACTGCTGTCATAGGATAAAGACAGGTGGCTGACTAATCTTGACTAGTGCTTTTCATCCTCATCTTTCCACAGCTTTACTGTCAGCTCCTTCCTTTGATTCTCAAAGGTGATGCATGAGGCAATTATGAGGCTTTCTTACTCATGTGTAAGTGTCTCCTTCACATAACATTGTCTAGTTCATCCCCATGAGATTTACCCCCATGATAGATATTTTTTTCCTCCTCCTACCATTATACACTAAAGGAAGCACTAAGTGGAAAATATCTCCATATGCAATGTGCTAAAGGCATTTCTCAACTACATATATGTTATCTCAGAATCACTGCTTAGGGGTCTTTAGACATTTGATAACACTGATTAGAAGAAAGGGCAAAATCAGTGATCATTTTAAAAAATTGTCTATGTGTGAGTAATCCTTATTTATGACTATCTTTTAAACTTGTTTACATTTCTCACTATGCTAAATCAAGGTATTTGTCTTTCCATAACTCTCATGTCACTGTGATGCAACATACAATAAATATATGCACACACAGTTGCACAGCTAGTTCTCTGTAGCCCCAGGTTCCACATCCTTGTATTCCACCAAGGGGGGGGCAAATACATTCTAAAAATTGTGTTGTATTGAGTATGTACAGATTTTTTCTTGCCATTATTTCTTCAACAATACAGTATGACAACTATTTACATGGGATTTACATTGTGTTAGGTATTATAAGTATTAGCTATAATTTAAAGTATACACAAGATATGCATAGGTTATATGCAGATACTGTGTTATTATATAAGGAAACAGCATCTGCAGATCTTGGTATTCATAGGAATTCTGGAAACAGTTCTCATAGATATACCACTGAGGGATGACTCTGTTTTACCTCTGTACTTATTATGCTTGCTGCTGAATATTCTCTCTCTCTGTGTGTGTGTGTGTGTGTGTGTGTGTGTGTGTGTGTGTTTCTCTTCCACTGTGTCTAGCCCAGGCTGGCCTTGAACTCACAATGATCCTCCTTCCTCAGCCTCCCTAGTGCTGGAATTATAATTCTCGAAAGGAGAGTCTATGATAACCACCTCCTTTTCATCCTTGTAGCAATAGTGCAATTCCTGCCACGTGTGATGGATAAATTTCTTGTTAAATTAGTATGTTGAAGAAGTTCTGTAAGTAGACTGCACTTGTAATTCTTAAAATAATGGGTCTAGTTTAGTCTGTATACAAATATTTGGTTCCATTTAGCAGCATTAAAATTAGTGCTCCTAGGAAGGAAAAACTACCATGGCATAGTTGTCCTGTTGCAAACAATTAGAAAATCAGGGGGGAAAATATGAAAACACATTGGGTAATATGGAATTATGTTATTCTCAAGAGGAAAAATAGGGCCGGGGATTTAGCTCAGTGGTTTTGCTGCCTGCTGCACAAGCGCAAGGACCTGAGTTCTATCCCTGGTACAAAAAAAAAAAGAGGAAAAAAAAATCAACCATCAGTTGATCAATTTTCTACTTGAAGGCAAAATGAAAGGAAACAAGACAGGCATGGTGGTACCTGCTTGTAGTCCCACTACTGGGCAGGATTATGCAAGAGGATGGCTGGGCCCCAGGAGTTTGAAATCGGGATGGGCAACATAGCAAGACCCCATCTCAAAAAACAAAACAACCCACAAAAAACAAAATGAGACAAAACAAAGCCTGATTATCCAGCTAAGTGAAAGAAACAGATTAAGAAAAGCTTAGGGAGTTCAAAGCAGCTAGAATTTGCGAAGCAGTGCACTGGAAAGAGAAAACTAAACAGAAAGAACTTCAGAAACTGTCCCTTAGAGACATTGCCTGAATACCTACCTGTGCATGCAAACAGTGACACGCCACAGGCTGGACAAGAATTAGTTCCTGAGGAAAGAATAGTTACTGAGGCACTGCAAACCACACAATCTCGAGCTCACACAAACTGGAAATTGTTTG